GGTGCCTTGCTGTCCACGTCTGGAGGGCCGGTGGGAGATCGTGTAGTAACTATGGGTGGCTGGGCCCTCGCAGCGGCCTCACTGTGGCTAGGCTGGCAGAGCTGGCGGGAGCGCCGGGACCTGGGGACAGCAGGTGACCACGCAGCTGCTCCTTTGATGGCTGGGCTGAGACGGCGGCTTCGGGCGAAGCAGCCTCGCTGGATGACTGACCTGCCGTGTCCACAGCGCACGAGTCGGCGGAGCCTAAACCTCCCTGCCCTCCCCTAACAGGCAGCAGCTGGAGACGGAGAAGAAGAGGCGAGAGACCGTGGAGAGAGAGAAGGAGCAGATGATGCGGGAGAAGGAGGAGCTGATGCTCAGGCTCCAGGACTACGAGCAGAAGACCAAGAAGGCCGAGAAAGGTGGGCCGCGCTCCCGGGGCGTGTCCCCTGCATTTCACACGGCCCCGCAGACAGACAGCTCCCACAGCCAGGAGGAATGCAGCTTAGCACCCGGAGTAGAGACTGTGGAGGGACAGGGTCAAGTGGTGACGGGCCTGGGAAGTAGTTGTGTGCCCGGTCCCGTCGGTGCGGAATGCTTTAGGGCGTTATCTTGCTGGTCCCCCTGCCCGGGGAGGTGAGTCCCGAGGGTCGTCTTCCTGAAGAGGAGGTGAGGCTTTAGCGGCAGAAAAGGTTGCTCAAGGTTGCAGGGTAGTGAGTGGCGCCAGGCCGGGAGGGGGCGCGCACAGCGCGCTGCAGCGGGTGGAGCATCCTGGGCGGTGGGAGGGGGCGAAAGAGGTCCCGTCGCCCCGAGACTCTCCATCGGCCCTGGGCTGGGAGTGGGCCGACTGCAGGTCGGGGGCAGAGCCGTGAGCAGCCGCGGTGCTGTGTCCCCTCAGAGCTCTCGGACCAGATCCAGAGGGCCCTGCAGCTGGAGGAGGAGCGGAAGCGGGCGCAGGAGGAGGCGGAGCGCCTGGAGGCCGACCGCATGGCTGCGCTGCGTGCCAAGGAGGAGCTGGAGAGGCAGACGGTGGATCAGATAAAGAGCCAGGAGCAGCTGGTAGGAGCCCGGTTTCAGTGCTGAATTATGGAGGGGCCGCCTCTGGGGACGAGAAAGTGACACCTGCCGACAATGATTTCTGTCTGGGCTGGAAGCGGATCGGCTGGACGGAGTCCAGTGCGGGCGGGAGGGCGGTGCTGGTGGTGGGTGCGGGCCGCTGCCTCCTGCTGGTCAGGGAGGGACATGTGGCGGCGGGCACGGCTGCGTTACCAGGAGGCTTCATTCACAAGCAGGCTGTGCTGAAGGCGTTCCAGAACTCACTCTGACTTGGCTCCTCACAGGCCGCGGAGCTCGCAGAGTACACCGCCAAGATTGCGCTCCTGGAGGAGGCGCGCAGGCGCAAGGAGGACGAGGTGGAGGAGTGGCAGCACCGGGTGAGTGGGGCGGGGCACGGGCGGGCCAGGCTGCCAGGTGCACGGAAACCTGGGGGGCGTTTCGCATGCCCTGCCGATACTGGTCCTTCTTAGAGAGGCTCCCACGGGAACGGGCCTGTGGGATCACAGGGGAACAAAGAGCCACCTTGATACTTAGAAAAAGGCCACCCTGAGCGTTCCGCCCCACCGGGCAGCCCCCCCACCCCCCCAAAAAAAACTGGCTTTAAGTCGGATTAGCTGGGTGCCCCCAGCAGCGAGCCAGCCACAGGGCCCGAAACAAGCCTCCCCTAGCGGCCTGCACATGCAGTGGCGATGGGACCTGGAGGTCTCTAGGCTCTGCCCCTCATCTGCTGTGTGACCTGGGCTAGGGGCCTCACCTCTTAGCCTCATTTCCTTGTGGACAGTGGGGACTACTGCCCACCTGTCCGGTTGCTGTAGGACCCCGCAGAGAGGTTAGTGAATTGCAGCCGTGGTAGCGCCACTCCATCCGCCTTCATGCCCACCAGGAGCACAGGCCCTGGGCGCTGCGGGGCTGGGTCACAGTACAGGCCTCAGCCAAGCTGTGGGGGCTCCGCGCTTCCCCATCTGAGGCAGCCCCTGTGAGGACGCCTGTGCTCCCCTCACTTCATCCTGTCGTCTCCCCCCCCCTCCCCGCCAATCTGTGTGCAGAGGCCTCCGTCCTTGGGTTTCTGGAGAGAGTGCTTATTACACGGCATTAAGTGAGAAAAGCTGGTTACAAACCAGCTGTAAATGAAGCTCATCCGTGGGATTCGGGTGGTGATGAAGTGGGTGGGGTTCAGTTATGTGCCCCTGAGACATTGCTGGAAGGGTCAGGGTGACGGGGAGAACTCCTTGAGCGCCGTGCTGGGGGGGCGGGAGCTTGGCAAACAGTGGCCACTGGAAAGGAAGAAAGCCGGGCGCCAGCGCTGAGTGGCTCTTTCCAGGCGGGAGGATTTTTTTTCTTTAATAAATTTCCCGCCCGCCCCCCAAAAAAAACATGTACAGTGAGCATATGCTAGGATTATAGACAGAAGAAAAGATAGTTAGAAAAATGTCAAACCCTGGCATCAGTTTCTCTCTGAGCTGCGGGGACACTGGTTGGCACAGTCACCTCCTGTGGCTCATGCTGCGCACCTGCCAGGAGGGAGGGGAGGTGGGGATGGGGGGGTCCTTACCCGCAAGGGGAACGGCCGCCTCCATGAAGAAAGGTGCTTCTGGAGGAAGCGGCCAGGCCACGGTTCTGAGTGAGACGTGCTCACTGTCTGTCGTTCGCTTCCGAAGGCCAAGGAAGCCCAGGATGACCTGGTGAAGACCAAGGAGGAGCTGCAGCTGGTGATGATGGCTCCGCCGCCCCCGCCGCCCCCTGTGTACGAG